AGGAAGGAAGGAAGGAAGGAAGGAAGGAAGGAAGGAAGGAAGGAAGGAAGGAAGGAAGGAAGGAAGGAGTAAAATCAACATAAAATTCCCATGTCAACAACGTTTTTAATTGTCAGGGACACAACAGAAATTATTTTAAAAAAATTAAAGGAACTCTGTTGAATGTCACTGTATGATTGCCCTGATACTGTAAAGACATGGCTATGAAAATTTTCTGGTTTTGTAATATTCATTGGAAAATAAATTATTTTAAAAACTCTTAATATGATGGCATTTTATTTTTGTAGTGCATGCAATTAGGATGGCATACTGCAGGAAAGAAGAAATCCTTTAGCATGCTTTACTGAAAGAATACCAAAGCATGTTCTGCTACCAAGATAAGAGGGACAGCAGCTATGTAGGCAAGAAAAAGATTATGAAAGTTAGAGTCTTGTCTGAATTTACCCTTAATGATAGATTTTATCTTCTAATTAGACAGGCTGTACATAGTTAATTAAACACCATGCAGCTAGCATTACCAATATCAAATGAAAATAATCACAAGCCTCATCAAGAAAAATGTTCATATTAGCAAGGAAAAAACATTGCAGATGATACTGTCTGGTAATTCAAATCTCTGAATTTTTGAAATATTCTTTCTTTCCTTTAAGTGTAGAGCTTTGGAAACAATTTAACATCACCTGCCTGGTGTTTGGCATGTATGTGCTGATGTTAATTCTCTCTTTTTCAATAAAATTAATAGAAATTCTATATAAGGAGAAAAAACATGGTGGGAAACAGGGAGAATGGAGATTAGCCAAATCCTGGGGACACTCCAGGAAACTGCATTATGTTTGGCTTGCTTCAACAATACAGTTTAATGAACATGTTTTATAAGGAACATTTTCAAGCATGAATTGTCCCATATGTGACTTAACTATTTAATATCCTAATACACAGTACAGTGAAGTCATTTTTTTTGGATTTATATGAATTTTGTCCCATAGGGGATTTTTTTCAGACTGGGAAATGATTTAACTGCAAAGCACTTTGGCTGAACTAGTTTGTAAATGTAAACATTACATTCAATGCTGCAAACATTACATTTGTGCAGCAAGCATTACATTTGTGCAGCAAGCATTACACAAACAGAAAATTAAGATCATCATTTTATGTATTATTATAATGCATGAAATGCAAACTTTTCTCTAATCATCATAATCCTTCAATTTGTATACTTTGAAAATATAAAATTAGGAGTAAAAAGAATAGCATGTGAGCATTTCATGATACAAACTCCTAAATGCTGGATTACAAATGGAATACTTCTGTCTATATAAAAATAAAAAGACCTACAGGATCTGGCTAAAGGCTTATCTTGTCCAGCATTCTGTGTAACACATGGTCAACCAAACACATTTTGGAAAGAAGCATGGACAGGAGGCTGATAGCCCTTTTCCATTGTTTTCTAGTAGTTTGTAATTAGAGTGTGTGATTGCAGCAAGATCTGAAAAGCAAGACAGTAAATTGGATTAAACTGTGTTTGGCAATCCTAGATTAGAGGGCTTGCTAATCACAGGAAGCATAACAGTCTGTTTCCAATCATCCAGGCTAGAGTGTGAAGGTACAGAAATATGATTTGTGATACCTTAATTTTCTAGATGAGGAAGTAGAGACTGAGAGACAGTCAATTTTTAAGGTACTAAATGCATTCATGGTACAGTGAGATTTTCTTATAATTTAGATTACTTTCTGTCAGAACTTTACAGTCAAAACCCCAAACTAGACGTATCCTTAATATTTATTGCACAAGAGGAGATAACGCTGGAGATACAACTAATATTTATAAAATTCATAAAATCTATAAAACAGCAAATGTATGCCAAGTGTACTTTTCCACATAGAGTATCCAGGATAACAAAACTTTTATTTGTGTACAAATTCAGTAAAATAAATAACAGAGGTGAAGCAAGTAAGAAGAAAGAATCTCTCATTAATTGGACTGGACATCTTTTTCATTCTGAATAAATCTGTTAAATTTCATCTAACAGTTTGCAATGTTGGGGTATACAGTTCTCTAATTATACAAAAGATTTGTGAACAACACCCACCCACACAGACTAGAAGTTATTTATATATAGTTCAAAACTGTTGAAGAGCTCTAGAAAATTTGACTTCTGTTTCTGCAGGCACTTCTACATGTTGTCCAACCTCCAAAATGTTTTGTGTATTTAATTCAATAGCACAGAATTTGTCTAGCAGCCTGGCCAGATTTTAATAACTCAATAGCAAAGACTTCCACCAATTCTGGACTATTATCTTCCTTAGTAGAAACTCCTCCACTTTATCTCATCTGATGTGCAATGGCCAATCTCTGGCTCTCCCAAAATGCTTTTTATGGGGTGCAATAAACTTTCTTCCTTCATTTTTTCAGTTAACTTTTTTTAGAATCCAATTAATTACTGAAAATGGAAACAAAAACAAAAACGCCCACAGCAGCAGATCAGTGTGAATAAACAAATCAATTACCTGTTTATCAAATGCTACCCATGAAGGTGCATCACATCCAACACCTCTAGGAAATACACTATACTTTGGTTTTAGTTTTTGTCCAAGCAAAGGTTCTCCTCCTATTCCAGGTTTGTCTTCTCCCACCATCATAGAAACCTTATTGCAGTAACTCCAATGTTGAGACTTATGGAACTTTTCTTTTCCTAGCTGCAATCAAAATGAAATAAATAGAAGACAATTATTAAAAAACAAAGAAAGGAAAATAATGTTTTAAATATACAAAATAATTTATACCATAATTGTTCAAATCCATAAAACTCCGAAAGAACCTGATAGCAGTCAGTTCTATTATCAGTGTTGAAATATTATATGTTTCAATCACATTTAAAGATAAAGGTGGGGCAAGACTGCATAATATTAAGAGTTCATCTTAATACTGTGCCTTAGTTTAGGAAACCAATGCTAAAATTTATCACGTAACAAAACAGACCAGACTTTGCAGATTTAAAGTTCTACCTCTGTTAATAACAATGGGAATGGATATGCTGTATGAAAATATACATATGTATTTTAATGTTCTCTCTCTCTTACACACACACACACACACACACACACACACACACACACCAGTGACTTAAGAAACTACTAAAGTTATGGAGTACTGATGATGCAAGAGGCAAAATCTATTAAGGTATTTCTGAAATGTACCATGGCTCTAAAAAAAGAGGAAAAAGTGGACAGCTACACTTTGGGTAAATTCAAATATTAAATAAGGATAGGACTATTGGAGTATGTTGGCTTTTTAAAATACAAGGTTTTTTTATATCTGCATAAATGAGTAACAGACCAAGGAATGACATTGGCTGAATCTCTAACCTGTAATGCCAATCAGTTATAAAATCCTTCTCGATATAAGACTTAGTCATGTCCTTATATCAGAAAGCATTATACACTAAGAAAGGCAGGGTATACATACATTATTCTGCCAATTTTAGCAATGAAAAAAGAGTGGGGGGAAAATGATTCATCCACCTTCTCTGCCGCCTGGGTGCAGAACTCCTGTCATGTCACCCATTTTTCTAGAAAGGGTTCCCAATAAGGTTTAGCCTTTTCTTTGCCCAGATGGTGCAGGTCCAGAAAGCAAGCCGAGATTATACCACATTGAAGAATTCTATAAGTAATCTGAGACCTAATCAAAGACAGAGTTTGAGTCTTGCCTTCTGAAGGGAAGAGATTCTATCTCTGGTTGGACGGCAGTTATTGGGCATTTAGAATTAGTTTCACGAACGAAATTTACACAGGTGCATAGGCATCCCCGCAAAACATTCTGTAAACCTAAACCAGGTGAGCTCCCGGTGGTCCCTGGGTCTTACTCAACATTACTTACATTCCTGTTGAAAGAGTTCCCGGGCAGGAGCGGTAGCGCCATAGTTGTGCCGGTCCTGCCTGCCGCGCCCCCCGCCGCCTCAGGGCTGGTGTTGCTGCCCGAACCTGGCTGGTCGCCCTCCGCGCTACCAAGGCCGAAGGAAGCGCAGCCGCGCTGTTTGGAGTCCAGTTGCCTGGAGACCCCCATTTGACGTCACATAGGGTAGCGGGGAATGGTGTATTCGCTTCGCCCCTGCTCTATGCTGCCCCCTGCAGACACAAGACTCTGCCGCAAAACCTGCGTGGGAGGCGGGACGGCTGGGCTGTTAGATAGTGCTTTTCTGTTGAGGTAGGCGAAGTTCCAGCTACGGGACTGCTACGAAAGGTCTTTCTTCCTTTTCATCGTGCATACCCAAGGGATTGTTACCATCCCAGGTCACAAATTAATTAAATGGACGTTTTTATTGACATAGGCCAATTGTTGAAAACGAACATAACAACAGGTAACCCTTTGATTATATTACAGCAGGGGTCTTTAAACTTGACAGCTTTAAGACTTGTGGACTTCAACTCCCAGAATTCCTCCTCCAGTCATGTTAGCTCAGGAATTCTGGGAGTTGAAGTCCACAAGTCTTAAGCTTGCCAAGTTTGAAGAACCTTGTGTTACAGTTACGTTTACAGTTACTTTATGGGGTGTCTTACCGTATTACAGTATATGACGTGGTATATAAAATACAGCTGACTTCACTTCAGAAATTCTGATCCCTTCAATTTTTATTTTGGAAGGAATCTCCCCAGGAGTGGGATTCAAATTTCTTAACAACTGGTTCTGTGGGTGTGGCTTAATTTGTGAGTGTAACTTGGTGATCATGTGACTGACTGGGTGTGACCAACTCAATGTCACTCACGTCAAGAGGTGCTTCGCCTGCCCCTCCCTTCCCAACCATTCCTTGTCACACCCAGCCTCAACATTATCTATAGTTCTGTAAAAATGTTGTTCACCCTTTTTTGACTTTATTATCTACATACTATATATGTACTTTCATGGACCACTGAAAGGAGGAAATGGCTCACATGCTTTGCCCAAGAGTGTGATAGGCAACAGGCTTTTAAGGGGCTGCCTCAAAGAAGTGGTGGGGGGGCAATGTATTTTCCAAAGAAGCAGAAGGCAAAACAAGAAGCAATGGATGGAAACTGAACAAAGAGAGAAGCAACCTAAAACTAAGGAGAAATTTCTTGACAGTGAGAACAATTAACCAGTGGACCTGCTTGTCTCCAGAAGTTCTGGGTGCTCCAACACTGGAGGTTTGTGGCTGTGATAGTTGATCAGAGCTCCTCTGTTTTTTTGTGCAGCAGCTTTAGCATTTAGGATCAGGGCTAAGTTATTTGCTTTTCTATTAATACATAATCCTTATAAGGGCTCTCCTCTAGGGACCCTGCATGGTCTAATTCAGAGGTCCCCAACCATTCTGGCACCAGGGACCCACCCCATTCTTCCATCGAAGAATGAGAGATACACGGATCGGACATATTGCCCTCCTCAGAAAAATGGAAAAGCCACCTGGAAGACATAAAACATGTAATATATTAAGGATTAGGATAGTTTGTGAGGGTATTTCAGGTGGAATTTCCTTAACAGCGTGGGGGCTTTTACATGTTTTTTGGCTACCAGTTCATTTTGGGAGGAGGGTAGGTGTTTCCATTCTACTAAATATTATGTGGAGCCATTGTGTGTAAGTGTGTGAGTCAAGGATATCTTTAATTTCAAAATGATGTTCTCCTTCTACAATAATGGAGGTTGGAGATGTGGGTAAATTATTAGCGGCTCAGTTATATGTAAAACTTTCTAAATGCGAATTTCATCTCACTCAATTGGACTACTTGGGGTATCAAATATTAAGCGAGGGAATAAAAATGGATCCCCTTAAAGCAGGGGTCGCCAACCTTTTGGACCTCAGGGACCACCAAACTCAAAATTTTAAATCCCACGGACCAGAGACCCTGGGAAAATCCCCCCAAAAGTCTGCCGAAAAATTCCCCATCCCATTTTCCTACCGATCGATCATTCTTTATTTGGGATCGCAGGATACCGTCTCCAGCTCCATTTTCAGGGGGAGAGAGAGAGAGAGAGACTTTTGGCTTCATACAAGGAAAGCAGCAGAAGTCTTTCTTTCTTTCTCTCCCCCAAATTCCGCCAGAAATGAGTCTTTGTGAGGCTTGTCGCGCTGGTGCAGCCTCTTGGAGCAGGATGCCTTGGAGGGTCCCAAAGACTAATTTTTGGTGGATTTGGGGGGAGAGAAAGAAAGACTTTTGCTGCTTTCCTTGTGTGCAGCCAAAAGCAGAAGAAGAAAGAAGCAGAAAGAAGCAGCCCAGTGGCCAGGCCAGGTGCGTGGGGCTAGTGGGGCAAGTTCCTCCTCCTCCCTTTCCCCCCTCCCCTCACTACCTTGTGTTGTTTGTAATGCAAGTGATGCAAGCCTTGTGTTCCCACGGGCCATGTGGGCGGTGCAGCCTTGTGTTCCCATGAAGCCTGGATTAATTGCTTTGGGGGTGACAATTCTCTGTGGATCACCAAAATTTTCTTGTGGACCACCAGTGGTCCCCGGCCCACTGGTTGGCGACCACTGCCTTAAAGTACAGGCTGCATTAAAATGGCAAGCTCCTACCACTCGCAAAAAAAACTGCAGTTTCCTGGGTTTTGCAAATTTCTATCAACAGTTTATACTGTCATTTGCTACCATTGCACTTCCCTTAACCGACCTGTTAAAAACAAAACAATTACAACAAACAAAACCCAGGTCCGGACAGCCATTAGTACAGTCAGACACATGTCAACATGCTTTTGACTCCCTAAAACAGTTGTTTGCCCGGAAGCCAGTGTTGAAACATCCTGATCAGGAGTTCCCTTTTGTAATTCAAGGGGATGCCAGTGATGTAGCAGTGGGACTGTTACAGAAAAACTAAAACAGAGTCTTACAACTATGTGCCTATACCTCTAGGAAGCTGAGCCAAACTGAGAGGGATTGGGCTATCTGGGAAAAGGAAGTGTTCGCAGTCTGTTGGGTCTTGTTAACGTGGAGACATTTCTTAAAGGGGGCCCAACATCCATTCAAGGTGTGGACGGACCATAAAGGCCCTTCAGATGCCAATAAATTATCATCCTAACTAGTGCATTGGGCACAGTACTTCTGATGGTTCAATTTTGTATTAAAATATGTACCAGCAGGAAATATTTTTTTGGTGGATGCCTTATCGTGCCTACCACAGTACGAGAGTCAGAGAGATGTGGTTGTACAACCAATCATCCAAGGACAAGAGACCATACAATCCCTACAGTCCTACAGTCCATAATGTCGACCGACCTGCCAGCTGCTATAAAAGATGACCCATCTCATCCCTACCCCTCCTCCCTGGCCCTGTAAGGAATGACCACTATGAAATAGAAAAAATTGTAGATTCCTGCAGGCATAGATACTTTACAGTATTTAGTAAAGTGGAAGGGATATCCTGTTGCAGAAGTGTCATGGGTTGCCCACACAGATGTGCATGCTCCATGACTATGCCGAGAGTTCCACTTAAAGTATCCTACAAGGGCAGGGGGATATGGATGCCGCTAGGGCCACGAACTCACCTTTACTTTCTTGTTTTCCAGGTGGACCTGTGATAGAGGGGGCAGCCTGTCGGGCTCCAAGCATTGTACTGTTTATATCAGAGCCCATCAGCTCTGAAGGGACTTGAATGGAGAATGTGGCTCTGGGGAATCCTGGTGCAAGCTTCCCTGCTGCCGATGACATTGCTGAGGTGACAGCCAGCACTAACCTGGCTCGATTGGAGAATGCAGCTGTGGGGAATCCCAGGGCAAGCCTCCCTGCCGCTGAGGATGTTGCTGAGGCAATGGTCGGCACTAATTTGAGAGTCGGCGTTCAGCGTCCAGGCCTCAGCAACCCAACATGAAGCTTTGAAGATCAGCCGCGAACTGCTGGGTGCTGGGGAGTCACCGAGGCACAATGACACCGGGTGATAGATGTAAGGGGGGAGCACAAAATGGGTAGAGGTATGGGGAAAGAAAGGGTTTATAGGTGGCGTTGGAATAGGGATGGAATGGTAGCCCAAGATTAAAGTTCAGGAGTGAAGCGCGTGTGATAATTAGAGTCAGGCAGATTTTAGGAGGTAGATGCTACTATAAACAGCACTTGGAAATAGATGCTCCCAGCACTAACCTTGATTGACTTCCTGCTGTTCTTGCCAGAGGAGGAGATTGATGTTTGTGAATAAACAAGCTTTAACCATCTGAATTGTGAGAGTCGGCTTGTTTATTCTGGCATATCTTCAGGATCCTAGAAGACAGCAGGAGTTCTACAGTGACAGGGTTAATGATTCTGGTGATGGGAAATGGGCCAATGAATTTTGCTCCCAGTTTCTTAGAAGGTTATAATGATTATAGGAATTTTGTAGATAAATATACGAAGTCCCCAACCTTGAACGGTTTGGGTTCACTGCATTTTTTTGTGTGTAAATTTTATTTGAGTTTTCACAAAGAGAAAAACAACAACAAATAAAACATCTTTTTTGAAAGTAGCATAATCCCGGGTTACATTTCTTCGTACAGACACAAATTCAGGTTCATGCTCATTTTTATATTCTATTCCATATCTTATTACTATTTTACATTTTCTGCATAGCTTCTCCCCTCTTTTAATTTTCTCAATTTTATTTTAATTATCTCATCTCAATTCAAATAATTGTATTTATATTTTTGTCTGTCCTGTTTCAATTATCTATTATCTTTTCTCATTAAACAAAATTTCTCCTGTAGTTACTAATTGGAGTATGACGCCTTTATATCTTTTCCCTAAAGTTGTAACATTCAATATAATACATAACTTCCATTCAGATTCTGCTTGGTACATTCTTAAAATACACACTGTATTCTTAAAAAAAGAAAAATTTTTAATGTATGTAATTAAAACAACATTCCATTCCAATTCAATTCTATCATTAATATTAATATTCATTAAAGTCTTAACATCTTTAACATTACTTTTCAATTAAATATCATACTTCTATGGGAACAATTATAAACTTTCCATAGTTAACTCCCCCCCTCTTCACTTATATTTTATAAAACATTAATTAATTAT